ACACGTGTGCCGGCTGCCCATCCGACCCGACACACGCTAACGAGCCATCTTTAATTGCTTCTGATGTCCTCTTGACAAATAAACATTTATTAGAAGCGCTATAACTTTTCAGGCCGGCCTCAAATTCATCATAAGATAAAAACTCGGCTCCTGCACAAAATGCTATTTTGCCCGAAGTGATCCCGGTCTCTACCCAGCCTGAGGTGAGTCACAAGTACGGCAGGACAGGAAGCCGGAGTCACAGGAAGTCGGAAGTGATGTCATGTTGGACAAGAATCAGAGTCTGAATAACATTTTTTCATATTCTGACTCGAGTCCGAATAGTCACTTTGATAATAATTATAAATATCGGCCAATGACGTTTATTTGTTCTCTAACTATCCGCTTGTGAGTGATGCTGACTGCACCGCATGACTGGCTCGCCATGCGTACAATCAGGCTGTGGGACGTGCACAGTGCAGATGGCAAGAGGTGCAACTTTCTGTAAGCCAATGAAATTAGAGGAAAGGGATGACGTAGGAGTCTGCTGTGCACACATGAGATTTTATGCTTTCCACTTTCATTCATCTTCCTTCTTTCACACTGTCAACACATTCATCAAAGGAGCTAACCATATTGTTTTAATGTTCTTTTTTACCACCCTTGGGGCTTGATTTTCTCTTTATTTTCTGTATTGGGGGCTTTCACAGACATGATGAGTTGCAGAAATCTCAAACACTATTTCCTTTCCCTGACGAATTCGAGTAACCCATGCCCATATTTGACTGTGCGCACAGGACAGTTAGGCAAGAAAGGAAAGTGGGCAATGGGTGAGGGAGCCCTTCCCTCTGGCTTGGGCTTTTGTTATAATTATCAGCTAAACACGGTTTTGGTAAATTTTTACTTTCACTCCCACACTCAATTCACTGCTTTGGGGGTCAAACTGCACTATTTTTTGCTGTAGATCACACATGCAAACACTAAAACTGTCGCAAATCAATTATTTTCAAGAAAATGTCAAATCCCCCCAAGATTTTTTTTTCCGGAAACCCCCGATTAGTTCAAAGTGCAGAAATTACTACACAATTAGGCTTAGTGTGACCTATTTTGATTAAAAACCATCAAATAGTTCAAAAACTATTAATTTGCAACGGAAATAAAGTCTATATATATATATATATATATTCTTGTCCAACGCATCGATGTGTATATATATGTAGTAGAACGCGTGTCGCATTCAACAAGAAGTCGGCTCCAACGGGGCAATCCTTAACCCACGATTTTTTCCTCTATATGTCATGTCTTTGTAAATGTACGTCAGAGTCAGCTCCAACGAGGTTGCAAACAGACCAAAATCGCTTTCAACGAGGTTGTGAATCAAATAAAAGCAATTAGCAGCCGCAAAAGCGAAGAATTTTTCTCCTTTCTCTCCATCTCACGCGAAGCACAAGGCTCATCCTCGATTCCTAACAGATTGTATTGCAAGATCTAGTGTGCCTCTTAATATTATGGGCCCCAAAGCCAGGTGGATGGGCGAGGGTTAGCCTGCGGTTGGGATGGGAAGGGGTGGGTGGGAACGCGATGCATACTGTGTGAAACTGGATGAACTTTGGATTGGTAGGTCTAGATCATCAGTCTAGATCAAGACCTTCATTTTTTTTTCAATTATCTTTTCTTCCCCTGATCAGAAAATTCAAGCTCCCGTCTTTACTTTATGAAGATCTAGACCTAGATGTGAGAGGGTGTGTTTCCACACGAGAAGTGTTCCGGGGGGGGGGGGGAATTTAACATGCAGAAATGACGGTCAGAACACAGCTGAAACACGCGCACACTGATGCTTTTGAGATTTTCGTCATCAGGAGGAACAACTGTTTTAATTACTGGTATTGGTACATCGTTTAACATTATAATAATTTTAATAACTAGTCTCCTTTCTTTTCTTTAGCCTTAGTCACGTTCGACGAGAGGTCGGATCCATAGAGGACAACAAGCCAGTCCCGGCAACCTCGTTGAATGCAACCCCCCACTGTAGTAGAAAATGGACAGCTAGTAGCTAAATTTGAGACTGGAGGGAAAGTAAAAGAAAACCCACAGTTTTTTCATAGCTGTTTATGCCCCCCTGTTTTGACCCATAATTTGATGTTTCGCATATTTAGGTTTGAACTTTTCTTGAAAATAATTAATTTGTGACAGTTTTAGTGGCTATATGATATAATATCTATGTGTGATCCGCAGAAAGAATACTGGACCCCAAAGCAGTGCATCTGTGTGCTGGAGTGAAAGTAATAAATTACCAATAGTATTTTTCCAAAATACTGAACCCAACTTTTTTGTATACCCGCTCAAAATATCCTCTCTTTTGTGTGTTGTTGGTCGGCGGCTCCTCTGCTGTTCACTCCTTCCAAAGTTTTTAAGACTAAAGTCTATGCTGTCAAGTCAGTGGGCTCTCATGAATGGTCTAGAGGTTATGGTGTTTGCCTGTCATTCAATAGGTCTTGGGTTCAAAATCTGACAGCAACGGAAAATTTTCTTCTCTAAAATTTTCTCCTTTCTCCTCTGTTTTTACTGTCTAAACTCTGGTGTCTACGTTCATCTCCACTTTTTGCCCCTCCTTCTCCTATCGGCTCCTGACTCTTTCATCTGCCACTCCTTGGTTCCTTCTTACTTACTACTACTGTCCCTAACCCTCTATTTCATAGTGGTCTCTCGTTACGAAATTCCTCCAAAAGTGCCTGAATAGTCCATTGGAAACTAAATGTTGTTTATGATTACAGCAGCTACCAAAATAATTATTACTTTTACTTTCACACTGGTATTTTCTTGAAAATTATTGATTTACGATGGTTTTAATGGCCAAATGTGTGTTGGCCACTTATACTACATTATACGTTAAAACAGTTATTCGTTTTACACAGTGCTATTATAATATAGATAGAAAAAAAATGGAATGGGAAGTGACCATTTGTGCTGGTGGCTGTCATGGCAGGTTTGATTGCACCTGATAAAACTGGAGCACTCATTTTCTTTCTGGGTTTTTTTTTTGGTGATCAGTGGAAGAACCCTGATTGAATTTAATTTGCACACAATCCAATTTTTTATGTGAATTCGTTTTTCCATCAGTCATGCGCAACTTATGGTAAATGATGTGAAACTAAACAGGTTTATTTTCAGTATTTGGGTGGCTTGAAAATACACATTTTTATTTGCGTGTGCAATATACACGTCTATTTGCCAAGACTGGTTTCAACATAAACTGAATCTACTGGGGTTCTGGAGACTCCCAATTTTTTTCTCCAAGTCCAAACTTCGCAGGAAAACTCCCTAGTTTTTTTTTGGGTCATTGAGGGTTGGCAGATCTGGTACCAATTCAAACTGAAAATTGTATTACTGCCAGATCAGAGTTTACTTTTCTAATGTATGTATGCTGTATGAAATTCACAAGAAAGGGGTGGGGATTGAGGAGGGGGGGAAGCAAATTAATTAGGGACAAGGGCTAGCTTGCAGTCACATGTCGGAGAAACTGAAAGGGAGATTATCACTACATAGCTGAGGTGGTGGTTTAAGGGAACAAATAGTGGGGGGGGGGGGGGTTGTCTCTCCCCCCCCCCCCCCCCCCCATGCATATTGTCCAAATCAGGCAGTAAGTGGAGCAGGTGGTATAACAAGGTTTGACTGGATATGAGTTTACAATTGGATCAATGTGTCCTTCTGGCATGCTCTTCTACTGCAAGGGTTGTTGTATGAAGCTTTGAATTAGTTCATGGTCATAGGTTTATGCTCTCTTTTTTTCTCTCCATGCAGGCACGTTTTACTTCCGAAAGAAATTGCCAAGTGGGTTCCAAAAAATCATTTGATGAGTGAGGGTGAATGGCGGAGTATTGGTGTCCAGCAAAGCCATGGATGGATGCACTACATGCGACATAATCCAGGTATTGTCTCTAGAGTATTTCTTTTGTTTAACTTTATTTAGTTTTTGTGTCTACTCCAATCCATAAAATGTAATAAATTATAAATGGTACTGATAAGTGTAGAGTGGCTCAAACTAAAGTGGACTGGTCTGTGATGAAAGTATCCTTTTAGGCTTTCCCCATTCGTACTTCTTACTGTTGTAGTATAATATAATAATGTATGGAATAATAGTGTTTTCCAGCTTATAGTGCGGTCAAAAATTTGTGGCACAACTTAACCTCAAATATCTTTTATACGGGTGAATCAATGTCCCCCATACTTTGCACAGCGGTTTGTATCAATTTGTCTTAATGTAATCATTTATTTTTCCACAATTGAGGCTAAATAAAAAATTGTTCTTCATAAATTTATTTAAAATACTATACAAATCTCCTTCACGCAGAAAATGGCATTGTTCACGGCCCTTCTCGCACACATTTTGCGTATGCATATATGGCTTAAGTCGCAGTTCACCAATGACACTTTTTAGTGGCAAAACTAATTACAAGGAACTAATTATATGGTTAACACTTTTTTCACTAATCGTTCTCAAAACAGGCGTTCAATAAACAAAATATCGTGATTAGAAAAAAATGATGGACTTGCTTTTAAAAGCGATATTGTCCCTGCTGTAAACCTCATAAAATCTGTAGAAGCCACCTCCTGGGATTTTTTATTAGTATTAATTACGGGGAATTTTCTAGAACAGAGCTAACAGGTGTTTACAAAAATATTGGTCTTTTAAGACTGAGAGTTTAGATCTAGTTCAGGAGATATGTGACAATAAGTTGCGCCATGAATTTTTGACAGCACTATAAGAACCTGGTTCTCCTTATCTGCTTTTACTCTCAGTGAATTTTTTAAATCTATAATACGCTTTAAAAAATCAAAATGTGATTTAGAACTCTGTTTGAATGAAAGGCAATACATTTTTCACAAAGAGGAGAAATTGAATATTATAACTGTTTGGGTGAAAGTGAAAGGAGGGGGCGTGGACAAGTGGACCAAAAAAAGACAAACCATTAAAAAAAGCACCCTGGAACAGAATGTTCTTGAAACATTCATGTGAGATCTCAGGAGAGGGTCATTTGCTACGTGGTTTTAGATCAGTTAAATCACTTATTCCTTGCACTTGTCCAATTATAAACACAGCCTATTCATGATCATTCTTTCCTTTCATTCATGCAGAGTAGCAACTAACTGCAGTCAGGAACAGATAATCACATGAACACGTAAAAATTTGAATAATAATAGTAATAAACAGCATTTGTATAGCGCATTATATCCCCACTCGAAAGCAAGCTCTATACGCTTTACACGTAAAAATTCGAAGTAACGGGTCGCTCATACGATATGCCATTCACAGACTCAACTGCTGTTTGTATTGGCAACTTTTTTCACAAACACCTATACGGTGTCAAACAGTTTGTCTAAAACATCTTGATAAAATTATTCCTCACAGTTGTCTTTAATACAAATCGCAACACACCCATCGTTATTGAGAGTGTCAGGTTGCATGAGCCCGCCAGGCCCCCCTCCCCCCTTACAACATGAAGCGCTCGCTGCTGGTTTTTAGACTCGTTATCGCACATTACCCGTACTTGTATGGTCGTGAGTGTAGTGTAAGGCCAAGGCACTAGCACTTCTTTGAATCCAGTCATGCGAAGTGGTAGTATGGTTTGGTCGAAGAAAGACTGTGGCACTGCGTTTGGGTCTTGTGTGGTAATTAAATGTTTGTGAGGTTCTTTGAATGTGAAGGTGTGGATGTGGAAGTGATTACACAGGTTATACAAGAGGAGAGGGGTAGGTGGCGTGCTCTATCTAGTGTTTCTTACAGTTATTATTTGATCTGATGTAAAAGTAATTTTATTTCTGTCAAAGGCTCATCAGCATTTTATTCCTTTCTCTTGCCTTGATACTGAGCAAGGTGCACATACTACTCTCCATCTGTCTATCCTTTTATCGATTTCGGATACAACTCTTCATGATGGCAGAGAGGAGAAAACTTGAACTGTCTGACAAGAGAAACGAAGCGTCAGATTGTAGCCGAAGTTGACAAGAAGTCCTGTACGAATTAGGAAATTTGTAAGAGACTTTAAAATATCTTCAATTCAATAATTTCTGTGTTTCAATGAAAAATAAAGATGAAATCGAAATGCAAGCATTGAATGGCAACCCTACAAAAGGCTACTGCGCTTTGCCAAATTTGAGAACATCGAACTGGCATACACAAGGCCAAGTTCCTTGGCGATTTCATCTGCTTTTGTCCTCAAGATGAGACCAGAGACAGGAAGAGACATGGCATGTGCTAGCTGGAACCGTAGAAATGCCATGCCTCTTCCTGTCTCTGGTCTCATCTTAAGGACAAAAGCAGAATTAAAAACTTTTATGAAAGTTGTTTTAGTCTGAAATTATTATAATTACGCAAAAAATGTTATATTTTAACTTTTAAGATCAAATAACCCACACACAGCCGTGCAGTAAACGACGTATAAAAAAACTTGTTTCGCACGCTCATATAACCTTATGCAGTTGCGAGCGCCGTAAAACCCCATACTAAACAAACAAACAAAAGCAGATGAAATCGCCAAGGAACTTGGCCTTGTCTTCACATGCAACACATGATGGTTGGACAGGTTCTAAAAGAGACACAGCGTCACTCAAACACCTGTGCGCTGCGAATCTGCTTTGATAAATCCGTTACAGTGATTTATTTCCCAACCATTCTACTGTCACAGTTACTAACCCTTCATTTCCATCGATATCTCTTTAAAAAAAAAAAAATTTTAATTGGTTTGCACAAATTATGGATGTATCAAACACATTTGTCTCTTCCTGGCTTGTTTGGGTTATAATCTGTGCCCGGCTATAACTATTACTTTTCATGGAGGTACAATGAGTACGCTATCTAAATCATAGAAAAATTCACCCTGAAGCCTCTCTTTCTCACTTGCTCCCAAATCAACGCACACCTCTCAGTTTTGTGCATGCACTTACCTTTACTTTAGTTATAAGGTGATTTTTAAAAACCCACCTTCTTTTCTCAAGCTTCAGCATTGCCTCTATAGGCTATTATTTCATTATAGAATAAATAATGACAGATTGCTCTTTAACTGCTTATCCCTGGCAAGTTGCTCCTAGTGACTTGCGGCCAGAACTGCCATACGGTGAGTCGTTGGCAGCATCTTGGGCACATTCTCATTCCTTTATGTTATGACAACTTCGACTATGAATTTTCAGCAGTTGCTGAAAACAGGTCTCTTTTTATCGGGGGTCAGGAGTTCATACATTAGATGAAAAACTGTCAAAATAAGTTCATTTGTTTTGATTTAATAACCAATTTAGTGACATAATACCTTTGTCACTTACAGTCTACTTACAGATTTCATACAAAAAAATTGGCGCCGCCATAGTGGGTTTACCGTCTATGGAGATAAAGTGTTAATTAAAGGAAGTTTTTATCAAACTCCACGTTTTAATGATTTGCTTTTTTGTATGTTGCAGAGCCGCATGTGTTACTGTTCCGTCGCAGGCTTCCTGAGAAGTAGTGTCCCTGTTGTCAAGTTCTCTGTGTCAATCATCTGATGTGTGCGGCATACTCAGGATCCGTCTGTGGTACCATTCCCCAACAGGTTGTGTTCTTTGGACCGTTGACTGACGACGAAGTTACCTGCGCCACAACTGCTCATGATCGCCACATTTGTACATATTTCACCCGTTGTCCCCATAGTCAAGCCATAAATTCATATTTTCAAATCTCATCTCATCCACGGTGTGTTCAAATTTGAGCTGCATTGTTTTAAGGTTTTGTTTTTGAAATCATAGACCTTTATTAGACTCCGAGAGTGGGGGGGGGGGCTGTTGCTAATAAGTCTACTTCTTGAGTACCGGTTCCTCTTACATTGCTTCTGTCTATCTTGCTCTTTCCTTCCCAGCATTAAATGACAGTTATCATGTCCATGTGTTTCTCAAACTAAATCATCGAATGGGGTACAAAGGAAATATCAGGTGGGACCATGCACCTTATATTGAGTTAGGAATGAAAATTATAATGATGGGTCATTCTTGTCTTCCTTGTGGGTTTCTTGTTTGAAATAGATTGTGAGCATACCTTTTGTAAAAGTGAACTTTTTTTCTTTCGTAACAAATACAGTAAAATCCCTCAACGCTTTGTACAGCAATGTGAATAATTGAGACCAAGTGTAAACGTTCTGTATATGTTCTCCAAACTGTTGCAGGTGGTCGGAGGGTGCCACTGGTAGGTCCTACTTCTTTTTTTTCTCCCTGACGTTTCTGTCTGTCTTGCTTTTTCGTTGCACTTAATGACCATTGTGTTGGTGTGCTTCCCTTTTCTAAAACTAAAGCCCCTGTAGGTTTCCTGTTTTCCATGGTCAAATTAATGAAACCCACTTTTTTAGTTTCAGAAGTGATTTGAGAATGCGAGAATGTTCCGTAACCCGTTTAAACTTAATCCATTTGTTTCTGTATCTGCGAATGTCCTTTTTTTAACTCAGAAGTTCAAACAAGAACATGACAATTTATAACTCATCCCTCCTTGTACTCTAGGGGTGAGGAATATGTGAATGGACTGGTAGGCTACTTCTGGGTACTAGAAATAATGTCATCAGTTTTTACTTGTTCTCTTGTCATATTTGCACTGCCTATGGGCCTTGTATTGTTTTTGCTTTGGCCACACATTTTCTGTATTTTCTACTTCCATTCTCTCACTCTCACAACTGTCTGTCCTGTTTCTATGTTTGTATGATTTGATTAAACTGGATGCGCATTTAACAAGTTTGTTACAGTTTTTGCTGTTTGGGAATGTTTTTGTTTGCTCTGTAGAAAAGCGACACAGTGGAGTCCACTGTGAATTTGTTGGGATCAAACTTTTGGTTTGTGGGTGGTTGGAGGGTGCTCTGATGTGGTTTGCTCCTCTCCTGTCAAACATCTATCGTCTTTTTCTCCCCTCCTTTTTTGTGTTTGCTACTCTCTTGTAACGCCTCTAATCTTCGGCACTTATACATGTATGACCTTATTGTGTTGCAAGTGCTATCAAACTTTTTTGACAACCAATGTTAACATCATCTGCAAATGTGTGAGTGGGTGGTTGGCAGGTGCTCTGGTGTGGTTTGCTCCTTCTTTCCTATCAAACAGCTATCTTCTTATCTCCCCTCCTCCTTTTTTGTGTTTGTTACTCTCTTGTAACACCTCTAATCTTCGGCACTTATATGACCTTATTGTGTTGCAAGTGCCAAACTCTTACTAAAACTACAATATGTGTGTGCGCCTAGAGAACAGTACTAAAAGTCGCCGCAGACCGTTTCGAGCTACAGGCTGATAAAAAAAGCACTTTTTTAGACCAAAATGTGTTTCCATATAATATAAAAAATGATAGATCCACCATTTTTTAAATTATGTGCTCAAAGGGTTTACACTGATTTGACTTCTAAATATTTTATTTTGAGGGTAGGGTATAATAAAATCAAGTAATGGAAATTGCTTTTTAAAAGGTGTTAACATTTATTCTTGAAGCACTTTTTCTCTTCCCTGCTATGTTTTACCATTGAATTCCATTCATGATATTAATGTCAACTGAATGCCAAATTGGACTTGAATTTTCAATGAATAAATACATTTAAAAAATCTTCTATTTTTTAAAGTTTGTATGTGTTCTCACGTTTGTTTAGCTTAAAAGCTCATTTTCTGAAAATTCTATCTTTGTACTTTACCTCGCAAAATGTGCAATATATCTCAAAAGATTCTTGAGATATCTAAAAAGCTCAAAGACCCCTGTTTTCATCATTGAATTTCCTATAAGGTACAAACCTTAACTCAAAATGGTCGTAATTCGAATTTTGGTTCTTTTCTTTAGGCACCCACACATATATATATTGTTGTAAAAAATTGAATGGAAATAGCCGAAACTACTCTATTTTGTTAAGACCAGCACCATAGAGACACAGAGTACTAGAAATATGATCAATGATGTTCCACTCCCAGACACACTCAACTGTACACAGGGTGAAGGGCAGGAAGGTCAGGAAACCCCATAGACACACAGAGAACTAAAAAATATGATTGTTGATGAAGGCCAGCCCAGAGAGAGACAGCCCTAGAATTTACTAGAAATATATGATACGGGAAGGACAGCACCATCTTGACTTTTCTATTTCTACTATTGGTAACTACTGGTAGATATATAATTATATACAGTAATCTCCGCCTAAGATCACGGTGCCCGGGAGCAAAGAAAAGGGGGATCTTAGGCGAACCGGGATCTTAACCGACGAACCCAGGGAAGAATCTATGGTGACCCATGCTTAGGCTCACAATCGATAAAATGGTCTTCCTCTACTCTAAAATGAACTGACGTGACCGCTTGGTGGGTTTATGACGTATGGCGAGCAAAGAGTGGTTAACCTTGATGGCCTATTACAGTGCATATTGGGATGAGGCGCGCCATTTTCACTTATTATCCTATCATGAATCTCAAGATCTACGCTTATCCAGTTGCCCATCCCCCTTACCAGTCGAAAATTTATAGCTTTCCGTCTCTAACCGAGCCCCCCCCCCCCCCCCCCCAAAAAAAAACAAACCGCCTTTGTCGTTACACACTATTACGTTGTGAACACACCATCACCAATTAAAATTCAGTCTGTCTCGCAAATTCGGGAGTAGAGACAACTTCTGCAATGGTCAGGGAAGAGTTCACAGTTCAATGTGATCCCGCCTGGAGCGAACGTGTAGGCCCTACCCACCCAGCGAGTGATGTAAGTTTAGGGGGAGAGCTCAGATGTGAGTGCGATGTTTGGGGAAAACAAACGTGTCGGTCAGTTCACACCCCGGTGTGATCCCATCTGGGGCAAACATTTATCGCTTCATCGAGTTTTACAACGTGTGTGTGATCACATTCACGATAGTGGCTGATCTTTGACGCGACGGACAGTTCATTGATCTCAACTTTTCACTCTTGGTTGATCGGCTGTCCCGCCCGGGTTTTTGTTCCGCAAATTATGATCTGAAATGCGGGATCTAAGCCGAAGGTAGACCTTCAGAGTGAATCAAAGCGGGATCTTAGGGGTGACTTGCATAGTAAAAATTCTGTTTTCTTTAAACAGCGGGATCGTAAGCGGTGGGATCTTAGGCGGAGACTACTGTATTAGATTGAAGCTCAGCCCACAGTATTGGCAAAGGACAGCCCATAGAGACGCAGGGTGTAGATCTAATGATTGTTGAAGTTGAAGGACCGACCATCCATAGAAAAAGACAAAGTGGAGGTCTACATATTATTGTTGCATTTAAGCACAATTGGGCTATCTTGAAAAATTATGTTTTGAGAAAATCGAAGGTAAAGTCTTTGCCCCTTATTCAGTTTCTTTAAAAGACAAGGAGAGTTTTCTCTACAACCTTTAACCTTACTTTACTTTTACTTTTTTCTTCCACTTGTACCCTGTGGAGACACAGGCGTCTGTCTGCAGCAAGTCGTGTGGCCTGTAGGAGGGACATCCCGTGAGCTCTAAGGGGGTCTGATATGTGGTAGGACTGGTGTTGCACAGTTGCTCCAGACACTTCATTTTTAATTTGGTCTCTTCTTGTTTTGTTGACCGCTCTTCTTAAGCATTTCATCTCGCATGTGACCAGTTTCCTCTCTAGGGCTTTTGTTGGGGACCATGTCTGGCACTGATATGTGAGCGTTGGAAGGAAAATGGCGTTGATGAGCTTCGCCTTGGTGCTCATGGGGATATTGGGATGTTTCAGGAGAGGGCCGAGTTGGTAGCTGACTGCGTTGGCTCTCTGGCATCTAGTCTCTATTTCTCAATCTAATTTTCCATTTTCTGTGAAAATGCTGCCCAAGTATTTGAATTCTCTGCTTTGTTTAAGTTGGGATCCATTGATGTTGATACAGTGGAATCCTGTTATAACGAGACGTAGGGGACCGGTGCGAAATGTCCGTTATACCAGGATTCTCGTTATAACGAATCCAGTAATAAATTCAAAGGAAATTATAAAGTAGGCCTATTCTATCAGTTTGGTGTTCTCTTTATTTCTTTTTGTTATCTACCCTGATGATGACATTGTTCAACATGACCTTTAGGTCTTACTTGATCAAAAATTGAATCGGGTTTCTTTCTCAAGCGATGTTGACAGCACGGCGTTGGCGATCAGAAAGAACTGTGTTGTTCCCCATCCCACCACACCCCGTTGTGTGTTTCGTCTGCTTGCGCACGTTACGTTAAGTTACTACACATTCACTCCATCCATCACAGCATTGTGACCTCTCCATCACCGCATCGGAGAAGTGAGGGCATGGGTAGTGGTAGGCCTAGATAATCTAGACTAGGCTGGCCTATCACACGATGCGTTCTGCTTGTCTGCGCTTACCACACCCTCCCCACTCATTCACTCCGGCCGTCATTGTTGGCAAACGTGGGCTCTCCTATTCTTTGTTTCGCTCAAGGAGTTGATGTAGTAAGGTCCTAGGTTTCGCTAGATCACCAACAAGTTTCTCAACTGGCGAGGTTTATATGTATAACTGGCCTGTGTGCTGTGCACAGTAGCAGCAATATTCCGCTATAACCGACCCCCGTGTTTGTCCGATTGCGCTATAGGATATTTTATTTACAAAGATAAAGAAGGAAAAAAAACGGGGTTTTAGAATAGTGTCTTAATAACAGACTTCTCGTTGTTTCAGGACTCGTTATAAGTGGACTCCACTGCAGTGGAATCCTGTTATAACGAGAGGGAGGGGACCGGTGCGAAATGTCCGTTATAGCAGGATTCTCGTTGTAAGGGATCCAGTAATAAATTCAAGGGAAATAGTAAAGTAGGCCTAATCTAAGAGTTTGGTGTTCTGTTTCTTCCTTTTTTGTATTTCCCGTAGTGATTTTGTTCAACATGATCTCAAGGTCTTGCTTGATCAAAAATCGAATCGGGTTTCTTTCTCTAGCACTAGCAATATTGACAGCTCGGCGTTGGCGATCAGAAAGAAGGGGCTCTGGTTCTAGGCTAACTCGCCCGCTATGTTGTCCCCCACCCCACCCCACCACACCTTGTGGTGCGTTGCGTCTGCTTGCGCACGTCACACATTCACTCCATCTATCACAGCATTGTGACCTCTCCATCCCGCACCAGAGAAGTGAGAGGCACGGTAGATCTATGCCACGGGGGCTCTCGTGGCCTAGAGGTTAAGGTGTTGGCCTCTCATTCAAAAGTCCCTGGTTCGATTCCGGGTAGCGACCAAAAAATGTTCTTCTCTAAAATTGTCTCCTTTCACATCCTTTCCTGATCTCTAACAATGTTCTGTTGTCTGCTTTCATTTCCACTTTCTGCCCCCACCCCCTCACCTCCTTTGCCCCCTCCTCTGGGCTCCTGACTCTTTCTGCAGCCTTTCTACTGCTACTCCTTGGCTCCTCCTAACTGCTGTCTTTCTGCCACACCCCTGATATTCTGGTAGGAAAGATCTACACCTAGCCTTCTCGGACAAGGGCGAAAAATCTCCGAGGGCCCGTGTGCAAGTTGCGCACGTTAAAGATCCCTTGGTGGTCTAAAATCGATAAGAGTAGGCTTCGGCCGCCACCCGGGCAAAATTCAAAATTTCCTACCAACGAAAAAGTATTAAGTGTGTCCCGCGCGCCTATATGACCTTATGCAGTTGCGAGCGCCGTAAAACCATATACTAAACAAACAAAAGATCTATGCCTAGATAATATAGACTGGGCTGGCCTATCACGCGATGCGTTCTGCTTGTCTGCGCATGCCACACCCTCCCCACTCATTCGCCCCGGCCTACATTGTTGGTTCGCGTGGGCTCTCCCATTCTTTGTTTGGCTGGATCACCACCAACTTTCTCAACTGGCGAGCTAAAATTGGTCTGTGTGCTGTGCACAGCAGCAGCACTATTCCGTTATAACCGACTCGCGTGGCTGTATGATTGCGCAATAGCAGTATTTTATTTACAAAGATAAAGAAGGGAAAAAACGGGGTTTTAGAATAGTGTCTTTATAACAGACTTCTCGTTGTTTCAGGACTCGTTATAAGTGGACCCTACTGTAGTAGTATGTAGGCCTGGTAACAACAGTCATTACACAGTAACAATCAAGCAAGGAAAAAACAGCGATTGAGGTGTTGCTTTTGCTAAATATTGGGATAGATCTATGGCCCGGTTTTTACTTTCAAAAATACATGATACATACTCAAATGTTGTATTAATAAATTATATGATACATGCACAGAGATCATAATACAGTGGAAATCATATATAACAAGCCCGGTAGCAATAGTAATAACAACATGGATTTTTAAAATCCCTTTTTTTTTCCAGCCACGCCACTGCAAGCACACGCAGCGGGTGAAGCAAAAGAGGACTGCTGTGTGCTGCAGACTTCGATCTAGCCCTAAGCTTAGTAACACGCGCGCGTAATGTGTAATGCACAAGCCCGCCACATGGGCAAAATCCCTGTTCATGGGTACTTATGGCAAGGGAAACTACCCATGATTAAATACAGCTGCATTAGTTCACCAATGCTTACATGCCTTGCATTTCTGATTTAACAGGCATCTGATGTAACGAATTTTTCTCAGGTCCAACCATCCCTGTTATTAACGGTATCAGGTTTCCACTGTAATAGATAACATTTGTATTGCGCAAAACCCCACTCAACAGCAAGCTCTATGCACTTCACAATCTATACATGTATTACCCCAGCAGACCCGAGAGCATTCTGAAACAAACTCAACTTCCTGGGAAGCATACAGTGCAAGCAGCCATTTATAGGCGCTAAAACACTAACGAGTAACATACTGGCAAGATCTTTCGCTGTCTAGTCTATGGCCGGGTACCCATTTCCACCTGGGTGAAGTGAGGAAAAATTCGTGCCAAGTGCCTTTCCTAAGGACACAACGTCGGGCCCACGTCTCGAACCCCCGACCCCGCAACCTCACGATTACAAGTCCGGTAGTCTAACCATTAGGCCACCGACGTCACGTATTACCATCTAATACTAATACTAATGTTGTAAAAATGTAGGCTACTAAGCAGGTCTACGTTTGTACTTAGTAATTTAGTGTACAGCGTCTTCTTGTTCTCATCACGACGACATCTCGCTTAGTCCTACTCCTATTCCACATTTAAAATAAAAATATAATTATGAAAAAAAAACACCAACTAATGTAGGCTACCTGTGTGACTGTAACAGTGCTTCTGTAACAAATGTAGGTAGGCCTACATGTATAACGTCGTTTTCAGTGTTGCGAGATTAGGGCAATTAGGCTTATGATACATTTGTATTGTGCAAATGACACAGACATCACGTACAAATTATAAATTACATGTAGGCCTACCGCCTACTAATATAAATTATGAAGTTGAGAGGGGGTCAATGTACAGGTAGTTTATGCACCTTCAACTTCAACTGACTGGGACTGTGCTGAGGTGAGAAGTAGACTTGACCCGTCCAGCTAGATTACGACACGAACTGAGACGTGCTGATCTCATAATGAACTACACACGATGCAGAAATGCACTTACTTTACCGTGACAGTACGGTACTTTACTTCTTCTTCTTGTTTATGTACCGTACTTTTACTTTTATCTAACCAATACATGTAGATCTACAATATTTTGTATTAACACTAGATCTAGAGGTAGAGATCGAAACAGATCGAGATTTCAATATAAACTAGGAATGCCTCTAAATTATATAAACTATGATAAACACTGTACGTGCTGTCAATGGCATGTAGTATGCCCGGTACATCATGTAGATGGGTCGCACCCACGTTGTTACTGTTACTTTACTGTTACAAGCTGTGTTTCTGGGTTGGGTGCACACTGTGGACGGCAGAGGTAATCCTCTTGGGCGTAATCTCATTATTGGCAGGCAGGGGAGCTCCACCAACAGGAGCCCATGGGGGAACCAGCTTGCTTGTGGTCATTGGTCAGCACGCACGGACTTGACCACTACACTACACAACAGCAGTTCACTACACTACAACATGGCTTCCTTTCGTGACTTGGGGCCATACGGCGATCTTTGCAGAGTTTTTTTTTGGAGGGCCGCGAATGTTAGTTGGTGGAGTACCTTCGATGAGTTCTGTAGTCTATAGAGAGACATTATTAATTATTGCCGTTCGATCTCAAGTATCCGCCCTGTGTACTTACACAGGACATGATTACTTATTGATCAACTCATGGTTGTCCTAATCCTCATTTCCAACGCCTTGTTTATGTACGTAGGCCTAGTGTAGTTCTAGTTCTTGGGCCAAACACTGGACTGTTCAGTGAAGGGCTATTCTCCAACAGCATGTAAAATAGAAGATCTATGTTTTTTTGTTTTTGTCTTGGAACGTCCTGTAAAAATGACGAGAAAGTAGAAAGTTCGCTGACCCCGCTACATAGGGACGCATTTAAATCACATTCAACTGGTTCAACCAACTGGTTTGGGGACAAATAACGACATACACAAACATAATATAATACTAATAATAGACAGTTGTACACACAGATAGTGGCTTGCCAGCAGTAGGCCTAATAAAAAAAAAAGAAATAGAGAGTCTTTCTAATATAAAAAAATATAGATCTAGTCTCATTGCAATTTCTCCCCCCCCCC